TAACAGTGTGTTTGTCATATTTTTCTTTTGATGAACATGTGTGTTAACCAAATTATACAACCGAAAGTGGTGAGAAATACATACCTTATCCTTCCAGTAATTATAAATAGACTGGAATACTCCATACTTAATGGATAGAGATTGCAAGGCCTGAATTTAAAACCATAAAAAGGGAACAAATGATGAATAAGTAGGAAAACTAAACTTCACTACATTCAGAGATGCAAAAAATCTCAGAAAGTAAAAAAATCAAAACAGCTAAGAATAGGGATATCCAAAAAGAAGAAAGATGTACAAAGATCATGTACAGGTTATGTTGTTCAAATTGAAGAAACGAACACAATTTCCAATGTCAGCAACAAACATAAAGAATCCATATATCTTATAATAGCAGAACTTGAGCATTTTCAGTGAATAGAGGCTAGGTTTTCATGAATAGAGGCTAGATAACGCAAAAGCGAAAAGGATTGCAAAGAGCAGGAAATGGCTCTAGTTTTCGTATAATGATGGAAGATTTTTTAGTTTTTAAGTAGCTTGCAACAGTCTTGCAATAATGAACCTGAATTCTCCAGTAGGTCCACATATAAGTTACAACTACAGCATATGGAGTTCTTATTAGAGCAAATAATATCAAAAATTGCAAAGTGGATTATTTAAATAACAATGCAACACGAAAGACAAAGTCAAACTTGCAAAATCAACAGACTAACAAGAAGAGCTAGCTTTTACCTCAACAGCAGCATCAAAACTTAGAAGCACAGGAACTGGCGAGCCAAGCGTATTTGCTATAACTCCTGCTCTTTCTCGGGCCTTGTGATCTAAAACTTCTAGTTTATACAAAATTGTCTCCAACCTGTATCAGGAAATAAAAGTGATTTTGTTGCCTATGATCAATAAACAAAATTCAAGTCTTGAATTAAGCATATTGTATTCCTTATAGAAAAAAGGGCACATCATATTGAGAGGAAAAGAACAGGATGAAATATATAGAGCATAGACAAATTACACTCAGCATCAGAAACCTGGAGCCAAATACAGATTAAAGATAAAATAATTAAAGGGACTAAAAGTGGTTTGAGGAAAATGGAGAAAGGAGTGCAAGCAAGTAGGATAGAAACAAACATGGCAGCTCTAAGAAGCAAAACTCAGGTCCAGTACTTAGCTTACGGTGTGGGAAGGATATACTAGAATAAAATTAAGGGGTTGTCTGGTTTATGAATAAGGATAACAGTCCAGGGAAAAAAAGGGAACATCTTATCTCGCGTTTGGTTGAACTTTTGATTCTGGGATTATCAATCCCGGGATTATACCACAATTCTGGCATTATTTTTCTACCACACTCAATGTGGGATAACAATACCAGGATAAAACACCAAAATGATTTAGATGCCCTTCTCCAAAACTCTTCTCCCAAAGTCCTTTAGAAAACTCAAGGTTAAAATCGAAAAAAAAGTTTATCCCAATTTATCTAGTTTAAAACCAAACATATGTATTTTATTATACCCCAATATCCCATTTTAGTTAAAAGAAACAAACATCTACCAATAAAAGCATATCCCCTAAATGACTCCATCATTATTCAATCCCCACATTATAATCCATGTCTAACTTGTTTACCAACCAAACGACCCCTAAGTTTGTATGCTTCTAGGATAAAAGGTAATGTCACGCAGCTTTTGCAACTTCAGCACAAAGGAAATAGTGTCTTCCATGTGGAAACCAACAGGACTAACAGACAAAAAACTGAAATCCGACTCAGATATCAGTGGAAGGTCAAGTAAGGTCTAAGAAGAGCCCCAAGTTTGTTAGCCTTTAAGTCTTTAACACCAAATCCATCAATGTTACAATGTCATAAGTGACCTGTTTCTCCAGGTTAAGATAGCACAAGATATGCTTGGGACACCTCAGAGGTAATGTCAGTTTGCATCATCCAAGCACGCTAGCACAGTTGATATAATAATGGAAATGATTTTCTTACAAAGAGACCTCTTCAGGAAAGCACCATTATTTGAGCTTATCCTTCACTAGATGGTTTTCGTTCAGTATAAGCATGGATTGTCCTAGGTACTTTATGGTTTGGCTAATTAGCTCAGTGTATGGCTTAAAGGAGTTGTGCTATGACTACAGAATGGCCTCTGTCCACCTTCCTCTCTTCCTTATACCTGGAGTATTTGGTTAGCTAAGCTCTCTGGTGCATTGTGCCATAGTGTGATAAGAACTTATGCAATACAGCTATTATATAGATTTTAGAGTCTCTTACTTCTGTTCTTCAAACTAATTCTCACAAGTACTACATTTTATTACTCTCCGTGTGAATGCAAACATATCTAACTAGCAGTGACATGAGGAAACAATAATAAAGGATGAACCAACCATAAGGAAGAAACAGAGAGCAAATGTCTCAAGGAAAGCTGTGTATGTGGGTGCGTGTATAAATGTAACACAGTAGGTATACAGAAGCATGGTTTAAGATTTTTTTACTTTTCAGCTGCAAGAACTTTTCTTTCTCTGTTGAACTCTTGAAGCCAATCTTCATCCTCATTGTCAAGATCATACTCCACAAATTCTCCAATCTCAGCCCGAGCTACATTAAATTTTAACAAAGTTCCAGAAGTTACTACTCAGATGATACTAACATCCCCCAGTACAGTACACTTGACGTACCTCCTCTAGCATGTATATATGATGTTGGCTGCGCAAAGGTGGGGGAATAATCTCTTTCATATGTATCCACAATCACATACTCAGGAGTAGGTATTTCAGGAGCCAACTTCTTGCTAGAAGTTTGTGGCACCTAAAGAATAAATTATTGTCCAACATAATAAGCTTAGGTACAGGCACAATTCACCAGCACAGCAGTAATGTGTGTCATGATAAAGACCAAGTACGTTATCAAAATTTTAACTTAGGAGTTAGGACAGTTAACTTGAAACAAGGAGATTAAAACATAAAAGAGTTAGTTAAACTGAATGAAGAATTCATGCATGCAAATTTATATCACAGATAGTCCATGCAATGCAATATAGCATAAAACTACAAGGATTGAGCTCAAAAACCTCATTTTCTGTAGCTTCAGAAGCGAGACGAAGGATAAGGTTTCGTGTATTAGTCTGGGAATCATCATCCTCAAAATCCTTGATAGATTTCAAAATTGGCAACTTTTTGTTAATGTCAAGAGGACGCGGTCTAAATGAGAGTCTACTCATTATCAACTGAGCTCATTCCCCACACAAAATTCACTCTGTTCTACTCCGGCGGCTCAACCCTAAAGCCACTAAAGCAGTGGCTTTAGGCCCCAAAAAATAACCAAAACCCCCCAAATTCAGTTCGCTCAAATACCGAAGATACACAAAAAGGAAACAAATTCGAGACTAAACGAAGAACCAAAACCAGATGAAGAAGATATATGCATACATAAAAGAGACAACCAGATCTGATGATGAAGGCGATGTAAATACTGAGAAGCACCGTACTAACATTTCGAAGAAACAAAATACCCAAGTAGAATATAAAAACAATTATGTATTTTTACTGTTACTATTAATTAAAACTTTGTTGCTAATCTTTACTAATATCATGCACGTATTTTTGTAATTTTATTATTCACGTAGTTGTAATTAAAAATTATACACAGTTACTTTTTTATGTCTTAATTTGTTTAATTCACTTCAATCATGTTTTAATATTGATTTTGTAAGATTATCTTCAATTCTTTGAGATATTTTATTAAACATTTCTTGTTTAAATTAATTAAATTATCGAATAATTAAATTTTAAAAAATATTGTCTTGCCTTTAAATGTCTTCTAATCACTATAATATTAATTTTTGTAATTAAAAATTTTTACGAAATATTATGTAACTAAAAAATGATACTTTAATTGACATGTTCAATAAAGTGAAATCTTAATTTAATTTTTACACACTTTTAGAATAATTTTGATAGTTCATGTAACAAATGATTTTATTGAAAAAGTTTTCAAAATTATAATGATTAAAAAAAATTTAAACATTTGTGTTGATTTTATTCAAGTCTCCCCGAGCTTATCTAACTCGCACAAATAAAAGAAGAAAACAAAGTAGTTCATTTTAGAATTCAATGATTGAGCAGAGTTCGAGTAGTCCGAGTCAAATCAGTGAGCCGTGCAAGAAAACATTTTCGGAGGAATGATGGAGGACAGATAAAAATGAAGAGTTAGTTAATCCAGAGGCTAGGCAATTTAAATTGGTTTTGGGCATCCGTATGTACATTTAATATATTACGAATCAACCAATAATAATTCTACTATAATTGGACTATTTGTATCACTATAAAAAAATTGATCATGTGTATTTGATTTTCAATCCATTAAAATATGCGTTTTGACGCTTTTAATATATTTAGGGAAAATATAATGGATTGCAAAAATATTTAACAAGCAAATATATGGAAGTAAATAACTATGATTAGGACTTTGCTTTAGTCAATTAAATATCAACCATTAATTCTAAAGTCTAAACTATGACATGTATCTGCAATCCAAACTAGAACTTGGGGAAAATATAGAGAAGAGAAATGGAGAGGAGCCGAATCCAAATACAAAGTGGTTAGTAATTTCTTCATTGTGGCACTTCCGCTTGGTAAAACAATTACTTTACAATATTAAAGATACCATTTTCGTATAACTTTAACAACCCAAAGAAGAAATTAGATGAGAGAAAGGAAATTCATGGACCTAATTAGTTTATGAAAGAACCATAACATGTAAAAGTGTATTGTTAGACATGAACAAAGAAAAAGATAAATAAAATGGATTTTTATTGTATGGATTGGAATCGGGTGGGTATGGATTAAATGGAAGGTATGTTTAAAATTGAGCTCAAGACACTTTTTTTTAAAAAAAAAAGACAAGAATTAACCTTTTTTCTTAAAGTTTGCATAAATGACATATTATAGTCTATTATATTAGTCTAGACTAGAAAGAATGAACTTGTTCACATTCGCTCGTAAATATGAGAGAATACTGTTCAATATTTCAACTTTTAATTGTACGAAGAATTTTTCACTAAGCTAACGTATCAGAACAAATTTTCTTTACATTGTCAATACATATAACTAACACTTACCTTTTGCTACATTCCTTTGAAATGATTCTCTCAAGTACCATATTACTGGCATGAGTTCAAAAAGGTACATAACAAAAGAGATATAAGATCCTTGTGGCAGGAGAATACAGATAAACTGAAAATTAACATTCACACTTCACTCGTATACTGACTCCATTTCATGAAATCATCTTCATCGTCATACTCCTTAACTGGATTCTCCATTTCCGGAACATCTTGCTCCACTGTTTCAACTTCTTTTTCCTCAACATGTTCAGACTTTGCTTCTTCCTCCTGTGCAAAATCATCATGCAGAATCAGGAAATCGGAAAGAAAAAAGAACACAATTTCTCGAGGTCAACCCTGATAATAGTCTACTCAAACCACGTAGGCCACATTCCTCCTTAATTTCTCCAGCCAGGTAATAACACAAAAAACATCATAATGACATGTGCATTAGTATAACGATGCATTATGCAGATATAACATTATAGAAAAGAAACATAATAGATAAGAGCCTGCACCCCCCCACTCCCCGCACAGAGGAAGATATACAAGAAAGATGATGAGAAGAGAAGATTCATACATAGATCTCCTGAGTCCCCATTTCCTCCTCCCCAGTCAAGTCAATTGACTCGTCTTTATCAGCGTACTGCAATTCCTCAGCTTCAATTTGCTTTAAACGCTCGATTACTCGTTCGAAGTGGGAATGATCTGCAACAAGTATAGTATCATGTAAAACCTCTATAGAAAACTTCAATAAAATGTGACACATTTTACTAAAAAAGGCTCTCTTCTTCAGGTCAATGATCCTTTTTCCCTCTGTGATGGTCTGATGACAAAGAGGGAAAATTTAAGTGGTGCATGCTTGTCATGCTGATGAAACATTACTCTTTATTGGATGAAAAAGAAATTTTGCATTTATACAAAGCATCCCCACCAAACTCTATTTTACGCCCATTTAAAACGAAATGTTATCATCACAATGAGTCTTGGCAAAATAAATAGATGTGAGTGCAGCAGAGAAAGTTGAACAACATTTACCTTTCGAACGATTTGTTAGAGCATCATGAAGCCTAAATGGATTTTGCCGCTCTTCTTTCTTGTATTTTAGCTTTAGCTGTCTACGTGTCCGGCCAGGAAAAAGTTGTTGTATAAGGGATAAATCTGTCCCAAACTGCTGCACAGCCTGAAGACAAGTTTGTTTAAATGTTTAAGAGAATACCAAGGAAAAAGAACAAAAGAGTATGGAGTGCATCATAGTACCATTCATGCCAATCACATAAAGCATCTTTATCCATTAGCTCTATTTGGTGTCATGACACCATCAAGTAAACAGTAATATAATCTTTTTTCAAATACCTGAATACTCGTTGCATCTGGGGTCCGCTTCCCTACTCTTCACATAAAACTTAACAATTATAATATAAAAGGGAATTTATCCCATATGTTTCGGTATGGATACCTAAGGTAGTGGGGTAAGGTCTGGGACTCTGGGTACACTCTACCCTCCCCACACCCCACTTGTGGGACCTCAGTGGGTATGTCATTGTTATGGGTGCCTTTGAATCCCACAATTCACTTGGATAAGTATATTCATGTAATATTTGAAAAGGACCTTATCTCAAATAGAGAAAACAAAGCAGCAGTTATAAATAAATAAATACCAACAAGCATGTCCTACAGGAGTCTTTCACTGCTATCTCATAGGAAGGTCTCAACAATTGAAGCAAATTTGATTTAAATAGAATTGATAGATCTATGAAAGGAGTCCACAAACTTTGATATAGAATGCGTAGGTGAATCTGCTAATAACTTGAGCACTTTATAAGTTGCACTTGTAAGGATCCCCTATTTAAAACTTATTTTTCTTGATCAAATTACAATTATCTCCCTATTTTACTTGTGCATCTTTCAGTAGGCTACAAATGAAAGGGGTGTACCTCATAGAAAAGTTCTGTGTCCTGTTTTGACCACCTTGTGCTGGGGGTTTTGTCCATGTAAGTCTGATAATTGAAGTAGGCAGAAGTATCTTCAGCCATAGTACTTTTACTATGATCATCAGCTTCCCCATCTTCATCTGAAGCATAGGTCTCATCCTCATCATAATTAGAAACAGATGCACGAGCACTGCACAAGCACAAGTCATGAAGAAACTGTGACTCGAAAAGGGAAGGATCTCGTCCCGAAGGCAAAAATACATGCAACACCATCCAGCACAAGTAAAAATGTGCACTTTGACACAAAAAAAACAACTGATAACAAAGCTATTCCAGCATGCATCAAACTTCTAAGATCTCTTGTCCTGATAATTTTACCTTCCGGAAATACAATTTAAGTGTCCAAAATTGAATTAGAGTACTTTATAATTATTTCTCATATTAGATATGACAATTATACATCTCAAACCATGTCAAAGATCACCTAGTATGACCTCCTAATATCTATATTGGCTTGAAGGAGCACAAATTATATAACATATTTAAGCATGAAGTATTTACAAATGGCATCTCTCTTCTCATTTACCTATGACTAACGAAAATAGCTTCTCATAACAGACCCCATAGGACCATTATAAATTGGTCAAGAGAAACATTAAAGAAGAATTGATATGAGAGTCGTTGGACTGGTAATTAGAACAGTTCTAAAAGTAAAGAAAATAATGAAGCTGTAGACAATATAAGAAAGACCAGTGATGCTCTTAAATAGTTAGAAGCAGACGTTATGAATAGAAAATAGAATGTGTCGAGCCAATAATAACCTATACGCATCATCTACATTTTCACTATCAACAAGAACAGATTTATTGAACTATGGAGTAAACAGAGAAACACTAAGCAAATGGTTAAACACGGGTTAGTATTTTTTTTCACAAATAAAGCAAAAGGTAAATGTAGATTAGTATATTTTATTTAATTGTATATAATCTTCTGATACCTCTGATCTGTAGTAGTAGGTATTTGTGACACTGCTGCGTCTTTTTTCTGCAAGTAAGGATGGCAAGCAATGAAACAAGAGAATCAAGGATGACTGTCAAATAACAAAATTTATCATTTTAAGTTTTCCTTGTTTTAAAAGGTTGATGGCAAACAAGAGAAAAATAAAGAAGAAACATACCGCCAACCGCTCTTTGTGCTCAGCTAATAAAATTAGATCCTTAATAGGCACCTTTGAATAGTCAATCTCATCCATGGGAGCCTCAAGCAAAGTCTTGTCCACTGTAAACAAGGAAGTTCCTGGTCAACAAACAATCATAACCATAACTAACCCAAATGGAAACAATACCCACTAGGATTACCTGTTCTCCTCTTTTGACGAGTGGAATGAGAAAACTTTTTAGGCTTCTTGTTGGCTGCCTGATCAGAAGCTTCAGCAGTCTTTTTACTTTTCCTAACTCGTTTTCCTTCCTTAGTAACTGTTTTCTTGGACTTCTTCTGTACCTTTTTCCCTTGCGAGTCATTTTCCACCAAAAACTCCTCATCATTCCCAATTGTAACAGAATCATTAGGATGTTCAGGTACATATTCCCCATCACCAATTACGTCTTCATCAAACTCATCTACTAGTCTAGATGCATTCACGGACTTTCTTCTACTCCTTAATGATCTACTCTCTCCGTTCTCTTCACTAATTGCAGAAAGTTCAGATGCAGAGAATTTTTGTTTTTTAGTCTTAGGCCTCTGAGGTACCTAAAAAGACAGTTGCAAGTGGGTTAAGAAGAGGAACAAAGGACTCCAACGAGGCAAGCCATTGCAGAAATTAGAGAAATAACTGAAAGAATTCGAAAACAAGTTAAGGATTTACAGGTTCCTCAGGCATTTGAGAAGTAGCCTCAGAGTGTTTTGCTGGGATGTCAGCATCTGGAAGAGAAGCCTCTGCAACATATTCTTCATGAACTGGAAATTCATGTGCAGATTCTGTAATAATATTATTATCAAATCCTCTGACTGAGAAGTCAAGGACATCAGCAGCAGGTAATCCATGTTCCTTCCCATTATCCACAAAATCCATTTCAGAATGAACGGAGTGTGAATCTGGCAGACATGACACAGACTCTCCTACATCTAAATCAGGAATGATTGTATCATATCTCTCTCTGTATACTTGTAACTTGGGCTTGGGTTGGAATCTTCTACTCTGCCCTGAATAAAGATAAGAAATTTAGAAGGAGCACAGGATATAACCAGGTACTAGTGCAGGAACCTAAAAATTCAGTCATACCAGATATAGTAGTGACCCCAAGGATATCAGCTTCCAAGGAAGAGTAGGTGTCCATTTCCTGCAACCAACAAAGCTGGAATTTTCGTAAGTGTGCCAAGGAATTTAAGTGGCAATGTTTCTCTACTCAGAGTAGAAAGGAGGGAAGGACATGAATTTGACCATCTGACAACTTCCACTAACAGAAAGAACACTTGCTTGGAATGTTAATGGATCTTGGCCTGCTGCAACTTCATCAGATTGAAGATTGGAAGCACTATGAGCTGAACCATCAACTGAAGAAACTGGAATTAAAAGCTGTTCTTGTTGCTTCTCTGCACCAGCAGCATGAGCAGCAGATGGATCTGTAGCAGGACTAGAACTCTCAGAATTATATGCAGCACAGAATTTTAATAATTTAATCTATAATTGGCCAATTATTCAAAAGAAAGGAACCCTTTTGCAGCATCCAAAATCAAGTACCAATTAATAGAAATTATGAAGGAAAATTCAGTAATAAGTGAACAGAAGAAGATTAGTTGTTACCTATGCCGCTTGAGTGAGGAAGTAAATCATCAAATGAATCCAAACCTATATATATGTCTGCATTCTGAAAACTGAAGAAATTTAATAAGGATACAAAAGGTTTGTTAACGTGATCAAGATATGGATAAGAAAATATCACCTCTCCCTCAGATTTCTCAAAGCAAGATTTCCAATTTTCATTGTTATCAGTTATTACCATACTTGCATCTAGACTTGAACCAACTGATGGAACCAAAGTTTCTGCAGCAAGAGGATGCACCAAGGAAGGTTCTGCCAACACAGAGCTTTGTTCATCGCCTGCTTACATTTAACAACAGAAAATCATTCTTGAAGAAGTCTTACAGCATCAATGAAGAACAATATTAGACTATCTATGGCATATGTTATATGACATTTCAAAAGCTAAAAAAATATAGAACCAACTTTGTCTATGATGCAAATGTTTATTGCACACAAGAAACAAAAGGTGTTTTGAAGGACAAAGGAACTCAATTCTGAAGATTAAATCTGATTTGTATTCGCTGATTTGATCTAGGTGCAGATTGGAATGGACAGATGAGAGTGAAAATCTGTTACAATTCCAAGAATCTTTCGTATAAATAGGCGGATATTGTTATTTTATTATAAAGGCAAGAAAGCTAACAATTTTGAGAATTCTTTGCCTCTTAAGAGCTTCAGAGGAATCAGTTGCTACAGTATCACCAGTGGGTTTTGACGTCAAAGAAGAGGATGCAACAGCTGGAGCTTTCATTAATTTGTAAAGATCTTTTATCCTAAGTTCCTAAAATAAATCATAATACGACAGTTTCATTTTATTTATTTTTATGTATGCGTAGTTTTTGATTTCAAAAGGTGTCCCAATCATTTTATCATTAAACTTGCAAAAAATGTTGAATTGATGATAAATATTAGTTGTAATTCATTTGAATTTTTGAAGAAACAAAAGTCAACTCCGTAGTTTTACCAAAAAAATATTTCATCCACTTCATCTTGTGCACTCTCCAGTTATACATTATGTACTTACAAGTTACAGAAGTGTATTTTGACAAGTAACTGATAATAGTTTTAACATATAAAAGCGTGATAATTCAAATATTCACTAAAATGATATATTGTGTGTGTTTTGAAAAGCTAAAAGTGTTATTTTTACCCCACTTATGAAAGAAAATTAGTGTTTCTAAGGATAACAGAAACTAATTTCAGAGCTTGAGCTTGTTTGGCCAAACTGGTTGTGAAGAAAATCTATTTGTGGAACCAACCACTAGCGCTTGGGCACTAAAACTTGAAAAAACAAGACCATATATGAGGAATCTGCTCAAGTCCATAGTATTCAAATATGATTATCCAGAAAAAATTTACTCAAATGAATTGAGCTAGGCAGTATTGACTTGAAAGCAAATTGCACCACAGGTTACATAAATATATATATCCCAGCTAAACCACATTGTTGCATGACTAACTCGCAACAGCAATGATTCTGTAGGAAAACAAATCTGCTTCATTTTTCACATTCCTATCTATGTAAAATGAATGCCTCTCATAAAATATTTTTTCCTAAAGAATTAAAACATCTAAACCCATCCTATGAATCCAGAACAACCAGCAAATCTTTTTTTTTGAAGCAGAACTTTGTTCAGTTAAACAATTTCCTACAATTCAGAGAGCATTGCATCTACATCATGTATAATGACAGATTAAACAATGGTAATTAGGAGGATTATTTTCATCAAGTCCAGCACCTTTTGAGATCCAACAAGGCAAGGAACCTTCTGAAAATACTGTCCAGTTTGTCGAAAAGGGAATCATTAGCAAGGCCATTGTGGGCAACAAGCTCACAATGCAAGTTGCAGATGAAAAGAGACTATCCAAGTCAGGGCAAAGAGCCAGGAAATACAACTGGGGACATAACAGAATTTATGGTGCAACTTCTTAGGATTTGAATCAAAAAGAAGAAGAAAAACACACGGAGCATTATTGCGTATGAAGTTCCAGAAGGAAATGTGAAAAACTTGGAGGGAAAATTGTTTGTGGGGAAGAGCTCTACTTCGAGTGATTGCAGACTCATGAATTTGGTAGGTTCTGGTAGCATTTTACTGGTAGCCAAAGCAAAGAAGACAAATCACTTTGTCGTAGATCTTTCTTGAAACGCTAAGATGTGGCTTGCCTACTAGAGTAAGATAAATACAATTGCCAGACTGGAGGCTAGTACCACCCGTGTCAACTTCAGTTCTTGCAATTTGAAACCAAAAGATTTTAAGAGTTGCTCAATTGTATAATAATTGGATACAGAATACAATTCGCACTTGGCACAAAGACGGAGGGGACTTCTCAAGAAATCAAATCAGGAGCAATGTGATCCAAGGTTTAATATATCCTAGATTTCAATTAAGAAAAGATCAATTTTTTACCAAAGATTGGTGATGTGTTGCTCCAAGATTATTTTTTTGTAAAATGTGAACAGAGGATTATAAAAAGGACCAATTGTAAGAAGGGATTTAAGGCAGCTAAGGTAAATGCTTAGCTGTCAGGATCAGATATCTTCTTATATTAGGTTTCTGTAGATTAAGGCTAAAGTTTGGTACATTTACACTTTCACTCCTTATATTCCAATAAAAAACTAATACTTCGGCAGGGGACTCCCTTATTGGCACAAGAACTTGAGCATTGTTCAAAAAGAAGAGATAAAGAAAGGAACTATAAAATTGAGAGTTAACAAAGCCAAGTGGGTATAGTATTAAAACTCAGCAAACACTGCAGCAATCTTACAACTTAGACTAAACATGCCTTTAACTGCTAAGGAAATATTGTTTACTACAAGGAGAGAATCAATGTAGACGAACTCTAACTAGATCTCTCTCCTTTTTAACACTTGAATCTCCAACTGAGGTAGGCACAGTTATTCAATACATTAAACATGAATTCCACACTCAAAGCCATCCTAGAGAAGACTTCAATGGACATTCCAAATGAAGAATTTTTTATAAAATGGTCCTGTTTCAAAACCCTTCTATAACTTGTGTGGTGCTGTGATTTATCTTTTCAAATACACACCAAAAAGACCATGGCATAACTACCTAAATCAGGTCATACGACAAGACGGGTTGCTCACATGGTAATCACCCTCCACCCCCAGCCCTAAGGTTGGGGTTTGAGTCACCAACGGAGCAAAAAAGTGCGAGAGCTTCTGGGCAGGGTTAAAAAAATCAAGTCATACATCCCTTAAAGTTTTCTTAAACACCCCTAGTCGTATTCTGCAACTTGTACTTCATAAACACTAGATATCCACCCAACTTTCCTAACTAGTGACACCCAAAAGCCAAATTTTCCACATTGCACATCTTAATGAAATTTGTCTGTCTTTTTCTCTAATTAAAACAATTCTTTACAACCAGAACTGCTATAGAAATGAACTTATCGCGCTACTGGTAAAATATTTGTCGTCAATTATCAATATTTACTTGCAAGGTATAAATTAAACTTACTATCAATTATACTCCTTCTCATGTAAACCCTCTTTCTACTTTCACAAAAAGTCCAAAATTTTCCATACATTTTCTTAAAAACATAAACCAAAAAGTTCAACTAATTTACTTATCAATAGAATAACACAAACCCATCAATGAATTCAACAAAAAATACATTAAAAAAATCAAGAAAATACCAAGAAATTGGGGAAAGGGAGAGGGTTTATATTGATCAACCGCATCGGTAATAGAAAAAAAAAAAGGCCATTTGAAGAGATAGAAAGCTACCTGAGATGTGAGATCTAAAGAGAAGCGCAATGAAATGAGTCGAGAGGTTTTTTCCTCTTTATGTAGACGAAGACTGAAGCTAGTCTTTTTGCGCAAGTTTTTTATACGGGTCGGGTCAGGTGTCCTCTGAGGCCTTAAAGTAGGAATTGCGTCTGGTAGCCAGTTTCACCCTACTATTTAAGTTATATTAGGCGGGTATTGTTATTTTATTTTTTGTTGCTAATTTAGCTCCCTTTTATTATGAAACAGCACTAAGAGATTTTGACATCAATAATACTTGCCTCTTCATAAATTATGCACAAAAGCACTCAACAGTTTCGATGACCCTCAGGGCCTCAACAGTTAATATGCGATCAAGTTTTGCACCAATAAAATATTCTGGAAAAGAAAATAACAATAACATAAAGGCAAGAAAGCTAACAATTTTGAGAATTCTTTCCACTCTTAAGAGCTTCAGAGGAATCAGTTGCTACAGTATCACCAGTGGGTTTTGACGTCAAAGAAGAGGATGCAACAGCTGGACCTTTCTTCAACGAGCGGGGCTTGGCCTTGGGTTGAAACTTGCCACCAGCCTTGACTGCATTAAATAACAATATTAAGCTTAACCTTGAAAGAATGAGAATAACTTTCATCGCAAATTTAAAAGAAAAAACATTTTCTCCCTCCTTACCAGTCTTTGAAGCACCACCAGCAAAAATATCATCTAAAAGGTCCATGAGCACACTTTCAACACTGAAAAGACCAATAACTGATAAGACAAATTATAACCACTAAAATCAGTTTTAAAGAGTACATGATTATATGTTTAGTAGATTTTCAAGGCAAAATATATACGCAGACACTAAAGCCGTGGTTTCTCATCTTTAGTGGGTGTGCACATTGAATTAGGAGAAAGATAAAGTCTAGGGTCTGCGTTTTTTCTATCTTCAATCTGTACATCATCAATTCATTATAATTCAGATTTCAATGTCAATGTCAAACAGCTCCATAAGCAGAATCTACAAATTTCTACAAAATCTTAGTCTGTAAACTCAAAATCAAAATGTCCTGGAAGTTTTGAAGACAAATATAGATTGTTTGCAAGGAAAGCCTAATAACTTTCACCAGTGCTTTCCCTTTTCCATGAAAATACCATGAGTGTAAACACCAATCGGTGGAACTCGATCAACTTACAGCTACTGGTGGCGCGAGATACGGCGGGGGAAGTGGAACAGCGGTGACGGTGTCAGACCGTCGGCCGTTTGGTTTCCGAGTGTGTGTTTGTTGAGATGATGCACCGGCAGAAATCGCCGGCCGATGAGAGGAATAGGGGAAAGTAAAAACAGAGGGAAAAGCATAAAAAAATTAGGGCTAAATAGTGAATTTTGGGCAGTTGTAAAGACTCGTCACAAAACACGGATTACCTTTTTTTTATTAGTACTATTTTGATTTATTTATGACAAAAAAAATCATCTAATTTGTTACTTAAGGAATTAACAATTTGATTTATTTGCCTTTACTAAATTACTTTGTTTTCATTAATTTTGTAAAGATCGTTAATCCTAAGTTCGTAAAATAAATCATAATACGACAGTTTCATTTTATTTATTTTTATGTATGCATAGTTTTAAATTTCAAAAGATGTCCCAATCATTTTATCATTGAACTTGCAAAATATGTTGAATTGATGATAAATATTAGTTGTAATTCATTTGAATTTTTGAAGAAATAAAAACCAACCTCGTAGTTTTACCAAAAAATATTTCATCCACTTCACTCTCCGTATTTTGACAAGTAACTGAGGAGTAGTTTTTTTTAACATATAAAAGCGTGATAATTCAATTATTCACAAAAATGATAAATTGGGTGTGATTTGAAATGCTAAAAGTGTATTCTTTTTATTAAAAAAAAGTGATATTTTTTACCCCACTTTTGAAAGAAAATACCAAGTGTTTCTTAGGATAATAAATAGAAACTAATTTCAGAGCTTGAGCTTGTTTGGCCTGACTGGTTGTGAACAAAATCTTTGTGGAACCAACCACTAGCGCTTGGGCACTAAAACTTGAAAAAACAAGACCATATATGAGGAATTTGCTCAAGTCCATAGTATTCAAATATGATTATCCAGAAAAAATTTACTCAAATAGGTAGGCAGTATTGACTTGAAAGCAAATTGTACCACAGGATGCATAAATATATATATATATATCCCAGCTAAACCACATTGTTGCAGGACCAACTCACAACGGCAATGATTCTGTAGGAAAACAAATCTGCTTCATTTTTCACATTCCTATCTATGTAAAATGAATGCCTCTCATAAAATATTTTTTCCTAAAGAATTACAACATCTAAACCCATCCTATGAATCCAGAACAACCGGCAAATCTTTTTTTTGAAGCAGAGCTTTGTTCAGTTAAACAATTTCCTACAATTCGGAGAGCACCCTGCCAACCAGAGCAAAAACGGTCAGGTCTAGAAAGGCATGCGCCCTGCAAGTCTGCTTTCTGATATTCTTCTGTCTATTGCCGCATCTATTGAGGTCATCTGAAAAAAGAAAACACAGACAGATAATTTTAGGATAGAAGCGTGAACAAGTTAGGTAATCAACACAAATGTATGAATCAAAATCATAGCCTGCTTCAATGACAATAGATTCTGAACTTGGCAAAAGAATCTGACCTGGGCCAAATTTGAACCACTTTTCGACCATAAATATCTATAAACAATCATAGTAATTTGCAAACATCTGTTGGGTCTATGCTTTGCTCACACAGCCCAACTCTTTCAAGGTCAAGTAAAGAGAACATGGAAATATCCAAGAACTAATACATGCACTCTGCTGAGATCCCCCTTGAGTGGATGGCAGCACAGTAATTAGAAATGGCATTACTTAACTACCAGCAAAAGATAATGAAGATACATACTTGAATCATTGATGACCACAAAACTGTTGGGATTGCTTGCCAACCGGAGAATGGCCAAAAGAAGATAAAAGAAGCCCATTAATTAATGGGGTTGAAACATACACTAAATTGATTGATTACCAGATACTCATCCAAGAGTATGCTATTTCCAAGAAGATGAAGGAGAATGGGAAAACTTACAAAAGAATAGTAAACAACTGAATCCGAGACATGAAACTAACACCAACCTACAACACAAGTCCCATTTTCATAGGAACAAATACTAGTATTAGGTAATTATAACTTACCTGGCTAGTCTCATCATGCACCTGATACTTTGGTAAGGACATTCTTCTTTCCTCCTGAAAATATTTCACATCAGCACTCAGTATCACAAATTAACTGTAAGACATTAAAATTACATGAAAACGCAAACACTACTGACCATGGACATGGCCTCATCATCCCAAACTAAGTAGACCTCATTTGTTGCTGGTTGGTTAGCTGGAGCTTTGTTGGTAATAACAGGTGGTGGACCAATTGAGGGCCCACCAGTATTTGGGCCAGAGGCATAAGAATGTGAATTTGCCGGTGCTGGGACTGCAGAAAGAGTGAATGAAATGAGAAATGAAGAACCGAAGAACTTCTCCACATCCTAAATGAGCCTTGATTCTTATAAGCATTAACCAAGATTGACATATAAAAGCATGAATCAAACTCTACTACAGCAAAGCTCATCCAGATAATCAGGTAAGATAGCTTGCATAGTATAGTATTTAACAGAAAATGCTATATGAGGAAAAAATAGGATGCCATTCTCCTGTGCTTCCACAAGGATTCAGGTGAGAAAGATAAGAAAAATGGTATGTGTACGAAGCCTGTAGACCACAGCCAACAGCTTCAACGTCAAATTTCATCATTATAAACAAGAATGAAACTAAGAACCCTCTTATCTCATTTTCCAACCCAGGGTTAAAATGAGACCTAGATTAGTCCTCACTATCACCTCTAAATACTGTACAGGGTTAAAACCAACAAAATAATCTGATACCATGGGCTGCCCATTTTTTTCCTAATTTCTCACCAAAATATACTAGCATGTACATCAAATGAAGTTTGTACCATCACCTCATCTAAGCGACTAACAAATTTTCCCTCCGAAAGATGTCAAAACTACTTCCCATATTTTGGAAAGAATCAGGGACAACTAAAACACACTTTGCATTTTTATTTTTTTCGTAAGTAAAATATTTATAAAATGTACCAAAATGGTTCAGAATAGATTACAGGGCCTAAATTGCACCTCGCACTCCAAACATACTACATCTTTTCCCCTGATAAGTAAAAAACCAAATACTTATTCCTCCTATCAAGAGAAATACTATAACACCAAAAATACAAATTCTTGATACATATGTTTTTAACTCTAGGTATCTGCAGGCTGCAGCCACTTCCCCTCAAAGCACTTTCAAAAACAATAAATGAATACTACTAACTAAAGGATCAGAACAGAGCTGCTTATCCTATCGTAAGGCACAACAGTAAATGGCGATAAGTAACTTCCCAACAGGAACCATGTTGAAAGTGTCAGACCTTCAACAAAATATATAAAGACATTACAATTCTAGACCTTAAATACCTGAAGTCTGATAACCAATGGCGGCAGGAGCATTGCTGCCCATGTTTGGGTCAAATAAGCTCTTTGTTTCAGCTGCAGAGCTGAATGGCACATTAGTTGACAGCATCGGCGCTGAGAATGGCAAACTTTGGGCAAGGTTGTTGTTATTAGGAACAACAGGAAACAAGGGTTGAGATACAGGAACAGGTGGGGCCGGGAGCCCTGGAGGAGCAACAAGCATTGGTTGTGCAGTGGCTGGCATTGGAGGCCTCATATTTTGCACAGGAAATAATGGTTGTTGTGGCAGACCCATCAGTGCAGG